GGTTAGCACCATGAAATAAACCCCAGGGAATCAATTCCTTAGGTGAGCCTTCTTGAGAAGGGCTTTGGGGGCTCTTCTCCCAAGTGAAAGTTTCATACTTTTGCACCTTTGAGCCTGCAAAGGGTGCGGTCTGGCTGCTTTCTGAGCTGCACTTAAGGCATCTTTCTTCTTGTTACTTTGCAAGTACTTGGCTTCTTTCTGACAGTGTTAACCTCTTTAACCGCTGTCAAGGCCAAGCCTCCTCAGGGACACCTGGAGAGGAGTTTGCACATTAGTCCATATAGTCTTTGGTACCATGAGTGAACTCATTAATTCCCCAATAAAGAAAAGATGCAGAGCCATTTATCAGCAAAGGGGTTGCAGAGCTAAAGCAGAGCCCTAAAGCTCAAGGGCTGCTTGTTTTTATTTTTTCAGTGGGACAACAAAAACAGTTGAAACAGCCACACAGAGCTCTTTAGCTCACAGCAGTTATGCGAGTTGTTACAGCTTATAGGGACCTGGTGAGACTAAACACTGGGGTGAGCTTGCAGGGCCATGTGGCACAGGTGTGGTTGAGTGTTATAAGTCATTCTTGTGTTCTGTCCTGCATATGCTCCTGATAGTCAAGCTGTATCCTTAAGTTCCTCAAGTGTAGTTAAGTTTAGTGAGCTTTGAGTCTAATCAGAAGTCGAACCACACAGTAGCACAGCTCCTTCTTCACCCCAACTTTACCATGGTTCCTTCTGAGCCAAAATTTAAGCTTTTCAAATGACATAACTATCTTATATCGTTATTTCTCAAATAGACACTAGTTTTCACTAAGTGGCCTTGTAACTTCTCAGAAATTATTTTAGTATGAGAAGCATAAGCCTACTAGCCTTTTAAGTTGCTATTGCCTGTATTTTGAATGTGTTTTTCTTATTATTTATGTGGATAGTTGGTGTGATCTTATCACTGTGGCCATCTCAAAGAAGCCTTTCCTGATTCCTTAATATATAATGGCTTCTTCTTTGCCAAGTAGTCTCTGCTATATGTTCAATTTATTTATCCCATTTAACTCATAAACATCAACAATAATTTTCTTATATTTATTTTCTTGAAATTGTCCAGTCTCTCATTAGAATGAAGCATCATATGGTTTAAACCAAGTCTGTATTATTTATTCTTGTTTCTGAAGTGTCCATTATAGTATCTGGCATGTAATAGATGCCCAATAAGTAAATATTTATTGTATGAATGAATAAATTTCTTAAGTCAGTAGTCTGGGAGTTTCTCAAAAATTATGTTCTAGTTTACTGATTTGATGCACATTTTCATTCTCCTAGAGAAATTGGTGTTTCATTGAATTGTTTAAATAAAATTTTAGAAGTTCAGACAAGTGCTATTATAGGTGCTGTCATTTCAGTTTGGATGCTTTTCATGGATCCTACTTCTCTCAATGTCTACTTCTATCTACTTCAATCTACTTCTCTATCTTTATGTCCCGAAGAGGACGTTGTGTACTTTTGGTAAACGTTCTTTCAAGTAATTGTTCTAAACCGAGGGTGGTCTCTCCCTAACACTTGCAGCATTCGCCTATGGGTCCTGCTGGTATATAGTGAGGACAAACCATGGACACCACTCAACATCCTACAATGCACAGGGCTGCTCCCCTCTAAGAAAGAATTATCTGGTCTAAAAGTGCCAGTAGTGTCAAGGTTTTGAGATTTGGTTCTAGGTAATACAAGGGAGGAAGTATGAAAAATGACACTATAGAAATGCAGCCAGCCAGCTATCTAGGAAAGTGAGAAATTCAACATGGACAACCAATTGCCAAGGAAAAAGAAATACAATAAGGAAAGAAAGAATGAGGGAGGTAAGACATGAGGGAGGGAAATTACACTTACAGACTAAAGAAAACTTAAGAGATAAATCAATATCCGATGCATAGAATTTATTTGGAACTCAACATGAGTAACAAATTACGGAAAAACATTTAAGAGATAAGTAGAGAAACTGGAGCTTGAGTTATTTGACGACATTGAAGTTTGTTTTCCATTATTTAAGTACAGTAATAGTTTGCAGCTAGGTTTTACCAGAGATCTCATATTTTAAAGACACATACTGAAATATGTATGAATAAAATTATATAACATTTTAAATTTCTTCAAAATAATCTGTCCACAAAGAAAAGGTGGGTATTGGCTATAGACGAAATAAGAATATTCATGTGTAATGGTCCAATAGGATTTATTAACATTAGCCATCTTTTTTGTTTCTGAGTAATGATGTTACTATAACATTAGCGTCTTAAAACAGCACACATTTATTATCTCACATCTTCTGAAAGTCATGAAAGCAGGTACAGTTTGGATGGATTTCCTGCTTCTCACGTTGCTGCAATCAGACTGTCGGTAAAAATTATACTCTCTTCTGACCCGAAACAAGGTCACTTCCAAGCTCGCTGAGGGTGTTTCTTATGATTAGGATGGAGGGCTTCCGTTTCCGGTGGGTTGGTACCTAAACATCATCTTTAGTTCCTAGTTGTCATGCACAGCTGTGTTCCTCTCACGTCAGGTTCCCCAAGATGGTTCCTTGTTTTCAAGAGACAGAGAGATTGGAGATGGATGGACGGGGACAAAGCCAGAGCTGGAGATGCAGGTGGAGATGCAGATGGGGTTGGAGGTAGAGACGGAGAAGGGGATGGGGCTGGGGAAGTGATTGGGGGATGGGGTTGAAGGTGGAGATGAACACAGAGATAGAAACACAGACAGACACTGACAGAACTAACGAGTGAAAGGAGGATCCTGAGGCCCAATCAATTCTACTAGCCAGAAAAATGCTGTGAAAACTCATCAAGGGTAAATCTATTCATGGACAAGCACAAGCAATTCAAAGGGCAGAATGAAGAACCCAGAAGGAGCCAAGAGCCGCACAGGAAGTCTTCCTTGGCCTTGAAACGTAGTTAAGTTACTCTTGCCAATTGTCCGGCTTATTTCAGATTGACTGGAACAGCGGTGGCTTTGTTTATTTTAATCTATAGAATGAGAATCTCTACAGCATTTACCCTTTTTTTTTTTTAATCATTAGTTCAGAGGAATGAGTAGCTTGTCTGTTTCGTCTCATGGAGCCACAAACAGAAGATCTGTACCTGAGAAATGCCATTCACACTGTGACCTGATTTAGAGTATGAGATACTGGAGCTTGAGTGATGTGGTAATGAAAGGAGACATTAGGAGGCCGTGGGGAAGGTGCATGTGCTTTGCAGGGGGCAGGAACAGGGTCACTGAGGCCCTGCGGGCAGGCTGTAACACATCCCGATGTTCATCCTATGACAGAAATTGTAACTTACTTCTCATCATCGGCATGTGGCAAAGGTGAGGGTAGTATTTGGTGACATGTGCATGATTACCTGATTATATCATGTATGATCATAGCTAGGAAAGGCTAACGGTGGCCTTTGCTCAAGAGAGCCAAAATCTGAAGTCCTTAGTCTGGGAACCACAATGAAAATAATTCTGCCAACAGCCTGGGTGAGTATAGAAATAGATCATTCCCTGGCTAAGCTTCAGATGAGGGTACAATCCTGGCTGGTGCCTTGGTTGCAGCTTTGTGAGACAGAGCAGAAGGGCTTTCCCAGGTGAGCCTGGACCACCAGCCCATAGACACTATGAGATAATAAATGTGTGTTGTGTTAAGGCACTAAGTTTCATTACACATGTGTTCCCTGTCCCTTCTTGTTGTATTTTGGTAAGCTTTACTTATTTTCTTTGACCTTTCTTCATCAGGAAGAGATCTCTCCAGGCCCATGCTATGTTCTCAGAGAGCACAGGCACCCTCAACCTGTTCTCTGCTCCTATCCACGCTGGATGCTCTATCTATTGTCCAACTCCTGACGTTAAGCTGGCTTTCACCCTCTGTTTGGGGTGTTCATGTGCCATGAATCTGCAAGTGTTAGGTGGAAGATTTCCCTGTTCGGTGTCTGGTTCTGTGGCAGAGCCAGAAATCCACACAAAGTTGGCCATGGACCACAGAGCACATGCAAGACTTCACCCCAGCACCTGCTTCCAGCCATGTCTCCCATTCATGTTTCTTGCAGTGCTTTTCCTTTTGTGACTGATTTATTCCAGGGCATAAACTCTCTACTCATGTACTTCCTCAACTGCTTACCCTGATAGCCAGGACTGTCAGTTTCTAGATGGAAGGCGGGGAATGTTGAATCGAGGGAGGAGAGAGCAAATTCTTGAGAACTGTTGAAGGGGTTCTGTCTCCTAGAGGGGTGCACACCACGGCACATCAGGTTCAGCAAAGTTTTGTTACCTTCTTTGGGGCTGTGTATTTAGCTCTGATTCAGAGGGTGGAGTGTATGTTACATAACCCAAGACCATGCACTTCATTCCATTCTCTTGTGTGATTCATTCAGTGGAAAATCTCTCTTCACTGTGGCCTATGATGTTTTCCCATTTTTTTATTTAAGGTATTGTCAACACTTTGTGTTTTTGTTTAAGTGCATAAAAGCTATGGAATGTAGTATCTGTGGTAGTTGCAACTCGTAAATCTTCACCTTTATTTGCTCTCAATAAAAGACTGAACGGGGACAGTGACTTTTTTTTTCTTTTCTTTTTTTTTTTTTGCGGTACCAGAGATTGAACTCAGGACCTTTACGATGCAAGGCAGGTGGCGGCACCACTGAGCTAAATCTCTGGCCTGACAGTGACCTTTCTGACACATTCTGTACATAATTCCTATTTGTGTCTGTTACTTTCTTCTATCTCTACTTATTGTGGAATATGCGAGGGACATTATATTTAGGAATACTGAATATCTTGGATATGCTAAATATGGCACAAGGCATTTTTACAGACAGTTTTGTTTTTAGTCTTGACAAAAACCATGGTTGTAGGTATTTTACCATTTAAATAAGGAAACTGTCTTAGAAAACTTAAAGTGTGTCTCTTTTTTCGTGTATATGTGTGTGTTTGTGTGTGTGTGTGTGTGTGTGTGTTGAAAATCTACTTTAACTCAAACTTTTTTGGTTTCAGCTGCCACCATCTGGAAAGTTAATGTCACAGCGCTGTGGCCTATCCAGAATTATTTCACCTGCTCCCACACTGACCAGGTATGGGCACCATTCTTTCCTTGATGGAGTGGGGCGTAAGAGACTCCAGAATCTTTGAACTGTGATTTTTATAAACAGAATGCCTTTGGAGGGGCTGTAGAATGACATCTCAGAATAGCACCGCTCGGAAGCATTCTCTGCAAACCTCTGGGTCACTGTGGCACCTCTTACACTGAAGCACAGGAGGCTGTTGGCCACGCTACCTGTCTTGGAGCGGATACAGTATGGTAGATTCAGGTCTCCGAGCATAGCTCCGTTTAAGCGGGTGGATTTGTCTTTCCTCACTCCCACATCTGGAAGGGTTCTGCCTCCTACCTCTATAACATGTGGGTACCTCCTCCCATCAACCTCCCACCTCTTTAAGCACAGTTGCTTCACCTTCTGAGCCTCCGATCAGGAGCCCTAATGGATGCTTTCTCTCTTGTACAACAACTCCCCTTACACACACATACACACACACACATACACACACACACAATTTTTAAAATTCTGCTGTTCTTCTGTCAGGTTTCCTTGGTCTACTTTTCTCATCTGAAACTACTAAAATTTTCTCCACCTTTTCTGGATACAGAAATTATATACTTTAAAAAGTATATAATTTAAACTATATATTAGCCATTTGTTTTCTGAGAAAAAATTTTTTTCTTATAATACTGAAGTTTCTGTTCATGAAGTTTCCTGCAATCTCTGTCTCCTCAGAGTGAAGACAGCACATTTATCAACTCTCTTTTGTGGTCGTTGGGCTTTTGATTGAATGAAGATTTCAGTCAGCTTTCCTTCTGTCTTGGCCCATGCAAGTCCTATCTCCAGAATATATGGCGGAGGTCACATTCTTTGTTCTCTTGCAAAGTCTTAGTTTCTTGTGGGTAAAGCTGCCATGTAGATCTCCAAGACTCACAAATGTATTATCATAAGGTGATCCCAGTCACACAAGCCACCCTATGTCCGGGTCAGTCCTTCTTTGGCCCAGCATAAGGTCAAAACTACAAATTTCAAGGCCAGACTCCTCCCAATGACCCATAGATGTAGCCGTGAATCAGCAGAGGGCGGTTGACTACTCCACCCACTGTGAACAGATTCCATGGCCTCTGCCACAACTGCTCAGCTCTCTTGCAATAGCACGAACACATGATGAGCCACACACACACAAAGAAATGGGCTTCGGTGTGTTAGAGCAAGCTGAGAGGAACCAGCCTGAAAAATCTCAGAGTGGACTAAGCAATCAAGGTGACGTAAATTGCCTTAACATTGATTGATTTGCAAACATAAGTGAATGTTAAATAGAGCTATTTCTTGTAAACGCCTGTATTAAAAAAGAAAAGAAAAAAAAGAGTTAAGCTCAACCAAATGAAAGCAATGAACAGACTTAAAGTTACATAACAAGCAACTTTATAGAGAAGTAGACAAAATAATGCAACTTTACTACTGCAAGCAGATTATTTTCTTTGTATTCTTTCCACATTGACTCTGTAAAAGCCTGTGCCTTATACTTCTCCAGTGGAGTTCCCAAATTACTCACAGCTGGAGCTACCCAATCCATGAATCATTGTTTGCTCATATAAACTCTTTCAAATTTTATTTTGCCTCAGTTTACCTTTTAACTGCTATGTTCTAATAAAACCTTTTTTTCTTTTCTTTGTAAAAGAGAAATAGGCCACAGGCTACATTTGGTCCATATCCTATGGTTTGCTAAACATCCCTGTAATGATGGACGGCCGGAACATAGATGCATTTGGGAAATTAGTCTAAAAGAATTAAAGAAAGTAACCAAGGTCAAAGATTGGTACGTTGGTTATTAAACACCTAGGCTCAAAGCACTCATTCTGTCTTGATCAAATAGCATTGTTTTATTTTGTTTTTATACAAAAGTTCATGCTCTGTCTCCTCCTTATTGCTCCTCTTCTTTCTCCCCTCCTCTTTTTTTCCTCTTCCTTTTCCTTCTTGAATTTCTTGAAATTTATGGTCTATTGCACTATTTGATACCGTAGTTTTAGGAGGGGGCTTGTTATAATAGCACACCTACTTCCAATCCAAAATCTTGATCAACTGAGAAATAAAACAAAAAATTGGTGTAAGGCAACCAACAATTTACTTTTGTGATTATGAAAGCCAGACTGAACGCTATCACCTAAACTTTAGGGAAGTGAACTTCTTAACTGAGGCATTCTTACCCACTTAAAGCTGATGTTCCTGGCAGGCAGTTTGCATACAAAAGAAAGAAGACAGGGATCTACTTACTCTCTTTTTGCAGGGTATCAGGGATCAAACTCAAACCTTGCATTTGCAAGGTAGGCGGTGGCAACCACTGAGCTAAATCCCCAGCCCTCTACTTACTTTCTTATTCTGCATTTGCTACCCAGGTGAGTAAGTCCACTTACCAGAGCAGGAATGGGGGAGGGAGCCAAGAAAGTCCAGGAGTAGGATGGCAGTTGCATTTTTCTCTAGTGGAGAAAAAACCTTCCCTATGAGCAATGTTAGCTCAGGCCATGAGTTTGAAAGTTTTGCCAATCGGCCCAGGGTTCCTTTGCTAGATTTAGATGGAAATCATAAATTGGCAAAGTATAGCTCTACTAGCAGTCTTGATGTCACCAGATAATGCTGGATCCCAACAGTTGACACAGCTGACTGCTGTTCACAGATGCTGCCAGCCACTGCTCCTGGTGCACCTGGTAGAGTGGTTTTCAAGGTTTTGGGTTATTGCAGAATAAATTATTGTAATGATAATAAACCTTGAACTTCATCATATAAATTATTTTGAAGACTTCTTGACTCTCCCACATCCTTTGGAGAACATCAGAGCAAGACCACTGTTTAAAACACAGTGATTTTAAATAGTTCTGTGGATGTCTTCCAGGTATACAGCATAATGACTAACCTTTCTCTTTCCCTCTACCAGTAATGGTCAGATAAGAGTCTTCAATAAGCATTACTTAAACAAATCAAAAAATATAATCCATTCTAGCTTTTTACTGCCTACCCTCACTATTTTTGCAACTACTTAACAATATGCTCCTCCTTAGCAGTATCTTCCTGTCTTGTAAAGCACCCTGCTCTTCAGTTCAAAGACATGTCCAATCATCTGATAATTTTATTTTCCTGATTGTTCTACAGGAAAACAAGGCAAAGTAATACTGGCATCCAAAACGTAACACATAGCAGGAGACAGTGGTGCAACTGAAAAATGCCAATAATTTTTGTAATGAAGAGGCATCTGCTAATTTGGTAGTAACTTTTATTTGAAAATTGTTATTTCAGAGGCCTTCATGTGGTCAAGAAAACATAGAGGCTCCTTTAAAAAGGGAAAATGAAATAGAAAAAAATGTTTCATATTTTCCTTGGTCTCTTGCCTAAGAAGGTTACTGTAGGAAATGTAAATAGACCACAGGAAGCTTTAGAAACACCGCTTCTTGATTGGAAAAATGGAAATTCTGTTTTTTACGGAAATAAAGTAATTCTCTGAAAATACAAATGCAGTTGGTTATCATTTAAAAGGGGTTAGTCTTTTGGATTATGGTTTCTTTGATATAGCCCTACTCTGGCACAAGCTGTTCCAAATATATTTCCGAAAGCAAAATAAAGGGAAAACTGTTCCTGCCCTTCAGTGATGTCTTGCTCTGTTCTATTTGTGGAATGCCAGGAGCAGGAGCACAGAGTTTCCTTGGACCATTTTCAGAGCAGGAAAGATGAGTGGGATATGGGAGTTGACCCCAGAAGGAAAAGATCACTCAATTTGAAGAAACACTGGTTCCTCCAGCTGGGAGCATGTTTAGATCCCCTCACTGTGGGAAACAATCACCTTTTCCGGGCCTCTGTCACAGCCTTCCTACACAAAAAGAATCCACAAGAATGTGGGTACTGGAAATGGTCAAGTCTGTGCTTGTAGGCTAAGTATAAAGACATGATGACCGCACCAGGTGTTTCAGTTACTTTCTTATCACTGGAGCACAACACCCAAGCCCACAAGTTAAAGGAGGAAAGGTTTATTTTAAAACATAGCTTGTAGAGGTTTCAGTCCATAGCCGCCTGATCTAATACAGGGTGGCATGGTGGCCGTGCAAGGCAAAGGATGAACAGCTCGCAGCATGGCAGGCAGGAAGCAGCACACCTTCCTTCTTCTTTCACTTTTTATTTCCTTTTTAGCCAATCACTAGGCTACAAGTGTATTGGTTGGTGCCACCCACACCCAGCATGGGTCTTCCCTCTTCAGTAAGCCCATCATCCATGACCAGAACTGTGCTAAGCAATCTGTGGACTCATTCTGCATCACACACTATGATCCAGTATTGTACAAGCCACTCACCTGCCCAAAGCCCCACCTATGACTGTGAGGCTTTGGGGGACATCTAGATATAAGCCATAGCACTAGGCTTACATATTTTTCATTTCTTATCATTCTTTCAGTTCTGTCACACCCAACACCACACCCCATCACACACCGCCCTTCCTTTATTCCTTCCCATTTGCCTTGAATATTGCTGAAATCTCTTGCTGAAATTCAGTTTAAGCCCTTTTCTTTGACCAAACAGTATCAAAATTATAATATGGAGATCAAGGCTTTTTTACCAATATCTTTGAGTGATGGCTGTATTTTAGGGGCTGAGGATGTGATGGGGAATTAGGAGGTCACATCTCTGTTGTGATGGAATTTACTGGTTGTCTAGAACACCAGTCACAGGGATGAGGTCTCTGCAGTCCATGGAGAAAACTTGGCCTTTGCCTGAGTTTGGAAATAGAATGTCATTGGACTAGAGCCATACTCATTTACAGATTGTCTATGGCTGCCTTTGTCCTATAATGGTGGAGTAGCTGCAGCAGAAACATTTGGGTCAGCAAAGCCTAAAATATTTACCAGCTGGTCCTTTGCTAAAGGTTTGCCAGCTGCTACCCAGTGAGGAATATTAATTCCTGTGATTGGCAGAGTTAAAGGGCAAAATAGTGGTAAGGGGTTTCGGTAGAAGGCCAAGTCCATGTTTACTAATGTCTCCTGGTATTTATGCTGTCCTTTCTTAGAAAAAAAAAATCTGCTTTTCAGTTGGGCAGTAATCCTTGGGAAAACAGACTACCTTTGCCTGCCTCCTTTTCTAATGGGATGTGAGCACAAGCATGTGCCTCTTTCTGGAAGTTTCCATTCAAGAGAGGAAGAGCCCTTTTTAGGGTCACTTCTTCGCGAGGGTGCAGCATTGAACAGACATCTGGGACCATGGCAGTTAGGAATAGTGAAGCAGCAGGAGGGGAGGACAGGGCTGCCTTCTCTGTATTTACTTATGTGAGGGGGAGATTGATTTTGTTGCTGTGAAGCTGTTGCTGTCCTACTTTTAGCCTACTTTTAAATCCAGTTAAACTCCAGAAGCATCTCTGATATCTATTTTTACTCCCCCTCTTGGGTGTGAACCTTTGATAATCCTTCAGCCTTTCTACTGAAGAGTAATACACATACATAAAAGAGCACATGTGACAAGCACTGGGTTCAATGGAGTTTTACAAACTGAACACAGCAACGCAATCTGTAGCCAGGTAAGAGAGTGTTACCAATATCCCAGAGTGCACCCCACTTAAGAATACCCACTCTGCTGCCTCCTTGTAACACTGGTTACCTTTATTCTCTTTATACGAATACAAACATACAGTATGTGTGTTGGCCTTCTTTTGTTCAACATGACATGTATGAACTTTGTCTGTATCAAAGAGTATCAGTGTGCTAGTGCATTCCACTGGTACGTGGTATTCCCCTGTGCGACTACACCATGATTTATTTATCTATTCCATTGTTGATGAACAACGTGTGTAGTTCCTAATCTTTAGATAACAACAAACAGTTCCATAAACATTTCAGTGCCTGCCTGAGGTGAGCACACTCGCTTCCACATCTCTGTTGTACATGTAGGAGTGGGACTGCTGGTCATAAGGTGTGCCTAGGTTCACCTGGAATTAATACTGAAAACAGTTGTTCAAGGTGACCACACCAGTAGCAACTGAAAATACTGGCTGCTCTAAATTCATACTGGCCCTTGGGATTTTCCTTCCTTTTATTTCAGCAATTTTAGAATACACATAGCGATGTTGTATTGCGTTTTTATTTACATTTTTTTCATGACAAATTGTATCAGTTATATTTTGCCATAGTAATGCAACACAACAAGTAACCACAAAAAATCAGTGGCATTACTGGGTACGTGGTATGGATCTCAAATGTGGAGTCAGCTGAGGTGCTTTGGCAGCTCTGACGATCTTTTGTGGCTGGAATGGCTCAGGTGACTGAGGGTGTCCCCCAAATAATCCAGATTGGCCACAGCTGGGTTCACTGGGTTACGTGCACATCTCCGTTTCACCAGTCTCTTTGAAGTGTTCTCATAGACATGACACAGGAACAAAAGCAAATGAACCACAACTGTGGACGTACTTCACAAACGTTTGTGTGTGCAACATTTGCTAAAGTTCCCTTGGTTTGAGTGAGTCACACAGCCTAGCTCAGATTCAGAGCCAGTCATTTCCTCCAAGTTATATGGCAAAGGGAGTGAGGATGGGTGGGAGAAGAGGTGAGCCATTTTTGCCATTTAAGGTAGCAACAAAGTTAAGTGTTTTTCAGATATGTCTATGGGCATACAGAAGGATGTCCTTTTGTGAAGTGGCTTCTCAGGTTTTTCTTGTTCTTGCAGTGAAGGCAGTCTTTTTGTTAGGGATTCATTGATCTCACAAATATGAATCTCTCTCTCTCTCTCTCTCTCTCTCTCTCT